TCCACCATATGCACAATCTAAAATCGTAACACAACAGACAAAACCATATCATTTATAATCTTTTTCAAAAAAAAAATGTATCTAATCTTTTAAATCCAAATGTCCTTTGTAAAAAAGTATTTTCATATGGAGTAAAAATTATTTGAAGAGGTATTTCAATCAACAAACATGAGAGAGAGAGAGAGACTTACACTAAAGATGATTGTGTCAAGGAAAGACATTTTCGTGACGAGAGGTCGTAATTGAGGATGAATGAAGAGGACTGAAGGAACTGCGAGATTCATGGTGTAAAGAAATTGTGGGTTCATTCGTGGCGGGCTATTTGCTCATGAAAGGCATATGACTTACTCTCACATTAAAGATTGAATCTTACAAAATACTTCTAACACCATTTATAATGAACATCGGATACCTACCCCAAAACTACTCAGCCACTTGGTTGCTTATCAAATAAGGTATAACATTTCATCCTACACTTCCCTAACACTTGCATGAGAAAAGGAATACATGGTTGTTATCTATGTAATATTATATATATATATATATATATATATATATATATATATATATATATATATATATATATATATATATATATATATATATAGGGTGAGGTTCAATAGAGAACCATAATTAACCAAGGAACCAAGGAACCAATCTTTTTTCAACTTTTAGAACTTATTTTTTATCAAAAAAAAAAAAAAAAACTAAAAATACAGAAATTCATAACTTTTTATCATTTTTCCAATGATATCAAATTCGATTTTTTTTTTACGTCAAATTCACAATGTGAATCTTTGAAAATTCACAATGTGAATCCGGATTCACACGGTGAATCCGAAAAATATTTTTCACATTCACAATGTTAATATATCAATTTAGATATTTTTAGATTTTTTTCGATAAAGAATAAGCTCTAGAAATTGAAAAAAAAGATTTGGTTCCTTGAAGAACCAATAATTATGGTTCTCTATTGAACTTTTCCCCATATATATAATATATATATCTATATATATATATATATATATATATATATATATATATATATATATATATATATAGATATATATATATATGGGGAAAAATTCAATAGAGAACCATAATTATTGGTTCTTCAAGGAACCAAATCTTTTTTTTCAATTTCTAGAGCTTATTCTTTATCGAAAAAAAATCTAAAAATATCTAAATTGATATATTAACATTGTGAATGTAAAACTAACAAAACTATATGGTTTCAATTAAAATTACTTAGTATGATACATATCCTAAACCTTAAAAATACTTTGTTTCCTATTTTTACTCTGGTTTCCTTAATTTTCATCTTCAAAAAAAATGTTACCAAATTTTACTTAACTTTGATTTTACAATCATGCCTAATCGTTTTCTCAGAGTTTTTGATTAAAATAGTTCTTTTGAAAAAAAAAAACATCATAAATGGTCCCTGTGGTTACCCAAAATCTGAAGTTTAGTCCCCGTGGTTTAAAAACCTCATAGATGGTCCCTGTGTTTTCAAAACTTTTGATGTTTGGTCCTTTTTGCTAACTCTGTTAAGTTTGTCCGTTAACTGAAGGGTATTTTCGTCATTTCACCACCACAGGGTCCATTTATGATGTTTTCTCGTATTTTTTAAAAAAAGAAAAAATTAAACATAATTAAATATATAAAAGGTCTCTCTCTCTCACTCACTCACTCTCTCTCTCTCTCTCTCTCTCTCTCTCTCTCTCTCTCCAAGAATGTAGAAACTGGAAAGCATTGAATCAACCATTATAGCCTACATTTTGTGATTGGCTTCTTACACACCACCTCCGACGAACGCCATATCTACCAACACCGACAACCACCTTCATACCCACTACCACCGGTGACCATTCTTACACACAAATCTCGAATCAAGGTCCATTGTCTACATCTACAACACCAAATCTGACCCTTAAATGATACATCTGCAACATCAAATTCGAGAGAAGGGGGAAGGATTGCGATCGATTAGATAAGGAGGACCAATCCTTGTATGATTTGGGAAATATAAAAATAGATGAAAGATCGATCGATTTAGGCGAAAAGAGATTGAAGGGAGCTGTGATTTTTGCTGCCTGATTCGTTTAAGAACAAGTCGTAGAAAAGGATAGCGATTTCTTCTTCTTGTTAGGACACGCATGAGACGCACGCATCTAAGAAGCATAGCTGATTGTGACCTCATTTATGGATTGTGTTTTCTCCGGTGGCGGCAGAGGGGAAGTCTGAATTGGAGCCTTAAATTTGAATCAAACTGAAATCGGTTGTGTTTGTGTGAATGAAGAGAGGATAGAAGGGAAATAAAGTTTGATTCAGGTAAAGAGACGAAAAGGAGTAGGTCTTTCATGTTCTTTGTGGTTCTTGGTTTCATGTTCTTCTCTGTTTTTTCTCTGTGTGTAACTTTGTAGACTTTGTAAACAAGGAAGAAAGGGAGAAAACATAAATTAAGGGAATAAAGAAGTAGAAAATACAATTTGTTAGAGGTCAAAGGTTGCTCGTTTGAGTTGATCGGAAAATAGGTTGTAGGGAAGAAATAGAGTCTTTGTTAGGGGATTTGTGGTGGTTTCAGGTGGAAGTGGGTCTTCTTCTTTGATGAACTCTGACATTTTATTTGGAAAGAAACGATCTGCCATTTTATGATTGTTTATCTTATTGTCTGTTCTAGAGAGAGAGAGAGAGAGACCCATTGGATATTAAATTTAATTATTTTTTTCTTTTTAAAAAAATAAAATAAAATAAAACCTCATAAAAGGTCCCTGGATAGTTAAATGACGGAAATACCCTTCATTTAACGGTAGAAAGCTAACGGAGTAAGCAAAAAGGACCAAACATCAAAAGTTTTGAAAACACAGGGACCATCTATGAGGTTTTTAAACCACGGGGACTAAACTTCAGATTTTGGGTAACCACAGGGACCATTTATGATGTTTTTTCAAAAAACAAATTAACAAATAAACGTAGTTTCAAAAATATGTATGGTTTTCATTTGATTATATATATATATATATATATATATATATATATATATATATATATATATATATCCAGTAAGAAGGAAATATTTAGTCGGAAGGGTAAGAAGTGCATCATTTGTATGATTTTTGCAAAATCAACAGAAGAAATCTTTAGATAAAACAAAATAATGTAATTTGAAAAAAAAATTACAAAAAAAATGCATCGATAATTCATCTTTGCGATGATTCATTAAAATTGTAAGAAAAGTGAATCAAAACTTGATTTAGTAAAAAAAATAATCATCAAATATTCTTACGATATTTTTTTATGAATCATGTTACTTTTGTCTAATCTAATGATTCATTTTGTTGGTTGAGCAAAAAACATGCAAATTGTGTACTTCTTACCTTTCCTATCAAATATTTATTTCTTATTTGATCTTAATTTTATATATATATATATATATATATATATATATATATATATATATATATATATATATCTTGAGATTCAACCCCAACCACATATTTCTCATTGACCGCTCTAACGGTCCACCGTACCGACGCGGCGGGATAATGTGTGACATCCTCTAATTTTCAGAACAAATTAAAACTTTTCTTTATGTTTCTTAAATTATATTATCATTAATGCGGAATTTCCCAGTACATTTGAAACAGTTTGAGTACAAGTAATTGTCTCAATAAAAAATCCAAATGATGTCATAATCGATACATAAACATATGTTACAACGTAAAGACCTAATGCTCCTGAATTCTATTGCAGACTAACTCTTAATCACTTAACATCCTAATCAAGTTCCAGTAGCTTAGTCTTGATACCTGTTATGCATATAAACTGAGTGGGTCAGGTTAGGAAACCTTGTGAGATACATAAGGATTTCAATCCCATATTATTTTCATGATAATATTGCTTAATTATTAGACCTGCAAAACCAACGGTTACCAAATAATATAGATAAGGTTTAAATATCTATAGAACCCTCTACCCATCCTAATTGATCCTTACAGATCATATTCTACGAGTATCAGGAAGTTTTATCTTACCTAATGAACCGTTTAAAGGGTTTGTACTACACAGCTAGGGGCTTCCTTGGCCAGTGTAAGTCATAAAGGCACATGATATGTTAGAGTATTTTGATGAATATGGTATTACCTTTCATATACGTCTGTAGGTTGTGAGCCTACACTAGCAACATCATTCACCAGATCGCCTAGAATGTTCAAGTTTTGTCATCCTACTTTGGGGGGTGACCAGACATACCATTAATAGTTGCCTGATCGGGACCCATCGTTTCTGATCATTCCAAGATGGAATATTGATATGTACTTCGATACGGAGCTACACTACATCGACACCTGTTAGTGTCGTAGAATAGGACTCTACTCTCCGTTCCTAACTTACACACATTCTCTGTATGAGACTACCCATTATCAAACTTAACCGAACTGAGTATCATTTATAAGTCTTACTTCCCTAATAGGCAAGACTACCGAGCTTATGAACTTTTCTCGAAATACCAACTATATTTTAGGCAATCCTATCTTAGTATTATCATAGAGTATTAGGTATTAACATTTCCTTTATCTTTCTTATTAATCATACTTCGATTATTTATTATCATGTAATCATATTATCTATATACTATAAAACATATAGAACCACATATGGTTCACACCTTATATATATATATATATATATATATATATATATATATATATATATATATATATAGAGAGAGAGAGAGAGGGGGGGGGAGCTAGGTTCAGGTATTCAAAGTAATTATTGTGTTATTGTATGCATAAATGTGGGCCAATCAAAACTTAAAATAAAAATAAATAATTAAATAAATAAATAAGGGTAAATAGGTAATTTGATAATTAGTTTCCACAATTAATATCTTATAATTATGGTAACCATTGACTTCAGCTACCTAGGTTTTCTCCATCCATCGTCGGCTTTTTCAAACCACCATCTATTGTCGATACACCAGAGGATATCGATCCAGAGAAATGGCTCCCCAAATGTCATTGTCGCATTCTGATGGTGCTCTGAAGATTGTCGACGCTGATGAGGAATCAAGTTTCACCTTCTTCGATTCCTACTTTATTGAAACTGGGTTAAGTCTTGAAGAATTAAGATGGAAATTCTATGAAAAAAGCATTGTTGTTGGACCACCGCTTTCTGTCGAAATCTCGAACTCTCCTCCTATGGCAATGGAGACCAATCTGGTTCGTGTTCCCGTCGGTGACGCTGATCGGCCGTTTTTTCCCTTGTCGTCGGATACTGCTGCTTCGGCTGATTCTCTTCCATGCGAAGGAGTCGGCCCTCATCCTCACTCCGATCGTCGGTCTTCTCCTCTGATGGCGGACCAGGTTTTTTTGGGAAATATTCCCCTGAACTCGTCAAACAGCCTCTTGCCTTGGTCCCTCCTAGCATTGGGAAGGGCGAATGTCCTAATAAGGAAAGTCAACCAGTACTCGATGAGGGCAATCCGTCTCTTTCCCCTGGTGAAGACCCCTCATGCACTAATTGCTCTCCAATTGCAGGAAACAAAGCATTTATTGCTGCTGTCTCTCCCCTTGATGCTCCATCTTTGCGCGTGCTTGTCCCTAAACCCTTCCCTGTCCGTTTTCTATGCCGATTCTTCTATCACTCAAAATTCAGGTATATGTTTGTATCTGTGTGCGTGAATTGATTATTCCAGTCGATTCAATGTAAATGAGACTTTTTTTTTACATAAATTGTACCGGTCTTGATTTCTAAGGTTATATTTGTGTAGAGGTTTAGGGAGGGTTTAAGCCAGTGGCGATCTGTAAGTGTAACTGTAGTTGCAAATAGGTATAGTGTAAAAGAGGTTGTGTCAATGACCGTCTTCTTATATGTAAAGTACAAAGTGAAGGTAGTTTGTCACTATTTTCATATCAAATTTACTTCTTCTTATATGATAAAAATCAATTTGTTTATGTAGATGATTCAATGGATGATATTGGTGAGATTCCAATTCTATTGGAATGGAATCACGAATTCCAATTCTGTTGGAATGGAATCATGAATTCTAATTCTGTTGGAATGGAGTATGGATATTTTCTCACTGATTTATGCATGTTCTACAATTCTTGGTTATTGGTTTTGGTGCAATTCACAAGTCCACATATTTTTCCAAAGGAATTTAGTTTTTTATTTTTCATTTGCTAATGCATTATTGGAATCTAAACTACAATTTGGTTTTGTTTTCACAGAAGTTGATGCTTGAAGAACGGACCACAAAATTGAAAGTGATTCTAAGCAACATTATTCTTTTAGAATGTATTAGTGTCATTGTTAGATTTTGATGTTTCTTCCCGTTTTGAAAGTTTTTTTAGTTTTATTCTTTAACAATAAATGTAATTCTTAACAATTGTTACCAGTATTCTATAAGAAATAATGTATTTTTTGTTTTTATTCTTCAATTGATTGTTCAAGAATTTGTTATTCTACAAGAAGTTTTTAAAGTCATGATCAAGAAATAGGTTCAAGAATATTTTTATTATTTATGGTTCAAGAATATTTTTATTTTTGAATATACTCATAAAACATATTCTGTCAGAATGTCTGAATTAAAAGAATTATAATTCGTAAAATCGGATTTTTAAAATTAATAGAATTTATGATCCCTTAAAATATGCAATTTTCCTTTATTAACTCTATATTAATTGACTAAAATACCCTTGTAATTAATTTAGATGATATTTTTCAATTATATTTAATTCAATAATATATATTAATCACTTTCTTAAAATAAGTAAAATTGATTGGCCCACATTTATGCATACAATAACACAATAATTACTTTGAATAGAATAACCTAAGCCTATATATATATATATATATATATATATATATATATATATATATATATATATATATTCGTACCACATATTCCATGTAATAATCATATAGTTCACATATATTTAATACATTCAATAAATACTTGCATTAAAATGATTTTCATGAAAGGGATTATGTATTCACTTGATAAAGTGGGTGATTGGCGATTTCGGCAGCGCTTCGCTTCGCACTTCCAAAGAAACCTAGACGTATAAAGCACTAAGCCTTAGTCTAGTTTCGTAATCCTGGCGACTATTTAAGGATAGTCTAGATTCCTCACTAATCTCAATGTCTACATCAAGATCTATCAAGTAAGGAATAACCAGGTAGGATCATATCGGAGGTAGAGTTTGTTTGGTATATAGAGTATATTGTTTGAAATCCCACTTTAAACACCTCACTAAGTCCAGCCTAGGCATTACTCCCGTAAGTAGATCAATCAGTATAATGACATGGAATCATTGATAAATATTAATTGTATGTTCATAATAATGACTATGACTATAATTAAAAGTTACACTTAAATAAAATAAGTGTAGCTTAACTTACAGAGTAATCTAGCGAAAATCGGGAATTACGCGGGCAGAACTCTGATCTGGGAGCTTCTATTCACCGGCTATCTGACAACGCAGGGTTTCACTGAAGGAGTTGGGAACTCAGGAGTATAGTGCTAAAGGCTAGAAAGTAATCCTAGAGAGATTTGTAGAAGAGCGTGAAGAAAAATGAAGGAGAAATCGTGAATATATAGGCCAAAAAGGGATGTGCGCCGCACATCTGGTCGGATAACGTGACCTGGCAGTTTTTCTATGGTGACACATGTCAGCATCTTGTGGAAGGTCAGAGGCACGTCGCGGCCTAAGTCTGTGCACGTGGGAATTTCTGTTTTCTTAAATAATTCATAACTTCTCCATATGAGCATCGTTTTCGACGGGTTTTATATCCATGCATAGCTATCGAATTTTGAATTTATTCTTAAAGTTATATTTTACAGACTTAGACTGTTAAAGTCCGTGCAAAAATCACAACTTTATCATTGATATTCGTTCTCTACTGTCTTTATATCTACGGATAGGTATGAACGAGATCTTCAACTCTCGTTTAGATTGTTTTTCCTAACAATCAACCGTTGTAAAATTTGATACCAGTGTTGCACACTGATGCACTGAAACTTATAAAAATCACAACTTCCTCTCACGAAGTCAGATTTGGGCGTTCTTTATATGTATGTTCTCGGTTTTACAACTACTACAACTTTTGTTTAGATTACTTAGGCTAATAATCAAGCTATCTCCAATTCACTATTTATGATACATTGTCTGATCGTGAAACTTCGGAAGTCTATAACTTTTGCATACGAAGCCGAATTTGAGTGTGCTTTATGTGTACGGGATTCATATCGCAACTCCTACATTTCCAGTCAATATTATTTATCCTAAATAATCTTCTATCAAGATTGTCATTTCGTTGCTTATTGATAAATTACTAAAATGGCTTTATTCTTAGAAGTCGATCACAGCAGAAAAGAAGGAAGAAAGCTAATGTTTGAGGTGAGAAAATGGGTTCATCGATAGCTTGAGTGAACCTTTGTTAAAGTTGTGATTTTCAGCTCAATTATTTGTACTTTTAGATAGATTTAGAAGCAATGTATTGCTTCAATTAATTATGTATTTGTGTATTATTGAGTGATGTGGTAGAAAATGTAAGTGTAGATGCTATAGTCATATTGCTGGAAATTTAAATTCAATTATGCTTGATTCAAAGTGCCAAAAGGTATAATGTTGTATTTGGAATATCTAAAATGGTGATATTTTCTAACTTTCTCGATTCGTGTGCCCTTGATCTGGATATCAAATGATTTTTCTGAAAATGACGAATGATAATCTCGGTTATAAGGTTTCCAAAAAGTCAAACGGATCTTAACTCTGATAAGTAGAACTCTGGGAAATCCATTTAAAGTTTCGTGATTAATTCGTTTCAGATTCGTAGATAATTCAAACGAAGCACTGCACAAGTCGTTTTAGGAAAATCAGATACATACTGATTTTTGATAACTTTAAAGAGACGTAACTTTCTCATACAATCTCTGGTTTGGACGTTCTTTATATCCACGGAATCAGGAGAATGTAATCTATTCAAATTTCTTATCCATAACTCTCAAATATACTTAATGCAAAAATTTATTTTTAACGTCACAAATAATTTTTTTTTTAATTTTCGATTATATTCTCAACGATAAATGGTTTGGGCAGTTTGAGACGTTTTAAAGGTAATTATGAATATAATATTTTTAATATACATTATAATCATAAATTTTACACACAATTGGTCCTTAACACATAACATTTCGTGGTGGTTTGACCGTCGAAATTTGACCGATTTTTACCAGTTGTTACACACTACTGTGCTGAAACTTCAAAAAATCATAACTTCCTCTCACGCAGTCAGATTTGGACGTTCTTTATGTGTATGCTCTCTGTTTTACGACTACTACGACTTTCATTTAGATTGCTTAGGCTAATAAGCCACCTATATAAAACTCACTTTTTATGATATGTAGAGTCTTGTCGGTTTAAATCGTGCAACTTCGAAAAAGCATAACTTCTTCATATGAAGTCGGATTTAAGCGTTCTATATATCTACGGAAATCGTATTGATCTTTTCTACATGTTTATGATGATTATTTTGGGCCAAAGTAAGATACCTCTATTTTGTATTTTATAATAATTACTTAGTATTACAATCTACGACATAGTAAAAATGGGGTGTTACAACTCTCCCCTACTTACAAGGATTTCGTCCCCGAAATCTAACTAAATAATTCTGGGTAGTTGCTCCTATCTCTTGTTCTATTTCCCAAGTCTATTCTTATCCTTCTCGGTGTTGCCACTGTATCTTCACTAGGTTGAACACCTTATTACGTAAGGTGTTTGTCTTCTTATCTAAGATTGTTATTGGTTTCTCTACGTAGTTCAGACGTTCATCTACGAAAATATCCTCCAAAGGTACAATTGTGGATTCATCCGTAATGCATTTCCTTAGTTTGGAGATATGAAGGGTGTTATGGATCTGACTAAGTCATTCCGGCAAATCCAAATGGTAGGCAACCTTGACCACTCGAGCAATGACTCGAAAGGGTCCGATATACCTAGGGCCTAACTTTCTCCTCTTCTGGAACCTGATGGCACCTTTTCATGGTGAAACCTTAAGTAATATGAGATCTCCGACTAGGACTTCAAGATCTAACCTTTGTCAATCTGCATAACTCTTCTGTCGACTTTGAGCAATTTGTAGTCTCTCTAGTACTTATTGGATAAGTTTGGTAGTGTTAATCACAACTTCAGTACTTCCCATGACTCGTTGACCAACTTATCCCCAACATATGGGCGTCCGACACTTTCTTCCATAAAGCATCTCGAAGGGAGGTCTACCAATACTGGAATGGTAATTGTTGTTTAACAAGAACTCTGCTAACGGTAGATATGTATCCCAACTTCCACCAAAGTCAAGTACACATGCCCTTAACATATCCTCAAGAGTTTGCATAGTCCTTTCACTTTGCCCATCGGTATAAGAGTGATAAGATGTTCTAATATGCAACCGCGTACCTAGCCCATCTTAGACCTTCCTCCAAAACCAAGGAGTGAAATGGACATCTCTGTAAGAGACTATCAAGATTGGTACTCTGTGCCGAGAGACTACTTCCTTGACGTATATATTTTCAAGCTTCTCAGATGAGGATCTCTCTAGGATAGGCATGAAGTGGGCATTCTTGGTTAATCTATCCACTATCACCCATATAGTATCTACACCACGATGAGTCTTC